TTCCTGCTGCTAGCTATTGTTTTATTGCCAAGGCCTTTCTGAAGATTGTACATCCTGAGATGTCTCTTCAGAATACTGATAACTTGGGATTCATATGCAGAGAGCATGCAGAGTACAAACGAGAATTATGCAGTATGTGCTTTGCGCTGTCAGGATGTATTATTTGGGGTTTATCCAAGCTAGGCTTATGATTGCCATATGTGAACTAGCAAAAGATGCACATAAAGGTGTTTTCCAAGGACAGTAAACAATGGCAGATAAAGTTTGTGGTGTTCTATTTTAGTGTGTGTCAGAACATAGCTCTTCTGATGATTTGGAGCCTGGAGGAGACCAGAGATTAGAGTGACTTTGGCCAGGTGACTGGCCAACATGGGGCATGCCAGGGTGCGAAGAGCCTAGCAGTGTTAGAAAATCAAGTAAGGTGAGAAAGTACACGATCAGAAAGACAATATAAAACTGATTCACTAACTTCTATTGTCATCAACTTTAATGGGAGTGTGACAAAATGCAAGGTGGTGTATTTGTTTTCAGTAGCACTTCTTTATATTATGACTAGCTTCTCTAAGAGCACTGTTCACAAATGTGGACTGAATTTCACTGAGGTTTCTTCTTTCATTTGCTTTCACATGGAAACAACTTTATTAAACATAGTAATTTGCTGTGGATTTCTTGTTTTGGATGGGTGTGGGGTTTTTTGTTTTTAAAGAAAGACAAAGTGTCTTTTAAAGAGAGACTTAAATGACTGCTCATCTTGAATTTTTTTTTTTTTAAGTAAAATTATTACAATACAAAAGCAACATCCTTTCTCCAGTGACTCTTTTCTCACTCAACTACACTACAGTCCATTAATTCCAAAATCAGCTAACATTAAAAGAAATGAGTAGTAGTATTTACTTTAAGGCAGAATTTCTTCTCATCTTATGGTAACTATATAGGCACAGAAGGCAAAAATAGAAAGGATTTTAAAGCTTTGAAGAAGTCATTTTAGCAGTCTTTCCCTTGGGGCAGAGCTTATGTTTCCTGACTTGTGTATGGCCAAGGCCATGACTTTTTCAAAGGTTTGTGTGTTATTGGATTATACTATTTATTTTGCTTGTCATTCTTAGCCAGAAAGTTATGTCTTTGATTTCTTTTCTATGACAAATGTGATGAAGCAAAAGTAGTGGAAAACTTCTGCACAAATTGATTTAAGTGTTAATGATGGATAAGTGTTCATTTCAGCCTGGCTTGTGCCATCTCATCACTAGTTAGTTAGAAGAAGGGATGTGCCAACTGGTCTGCTTTGATAGCAATACTGGCTCTGAGCAGCATTGTCTTGTACCATGCCTTATGTCTATTTTTGTCTTTTTAGTGAATGGCAATAAGACTAGTACTATATGTAATGTAGGAGGAAAGTGATGAATGGGGGGGTGTTTTTTTGGGTTTTTTTTGTGGGGTTAAGTTTGTTTTTGGTTTTTTTGTTGTTGTTTGTTTTTTTTTTTTTTTTTTCATCCCTCTGTTGGGCAGTAGCCTTCTGTAGTAGAGGAGGGAGAGGAGTCCGGTTTGAGCAAGACATTCATGTTGTTGGTTTATTGTTTGTACTTTAGGATTGGGTTGTAGTCAGGTTTTTCTTTTGCTTTTGCCATTTTGGCCTTTTCCAAGCCTCCTTGCTGTGTGCACTGAAGAAATTCACCTGTATATTTTATCCAGTCTATCGTTTTCTGCAGTATTAAAAAGCTTTGAGTACTGTGTTGTTTTACTACTTAATGTCAGTTTTGCTTGGGAAACTATGGAAGTGGTTGCAGACTATGTGGAGTACTGTGTTAGAGATGTTAGTTACATGACTATTTATCTGTTCTGTGTGGTCCAAATGGAATATATTTAAAAATAAATCACAGGTCTAAAGCCACAGTTGTGAACAGTCATCCGTTAACAATGTTACTAACAACTTTTGGAAATGAAGTTATGATAACTTCTTTCAAATTTATTGCTGTTTTGGGACTATTTCAAAGAAACAAAGGGGATGTGAACATGGAAAAAGATGAAGAACTTAGTAATTCTGCAAATCAGGAGCTGTAGAGGTAATTGTCCATATTGTTGCTTTTCAAGCCACAGCTTCATTCAGGAG